ACCCTCCAAACCCCATGCTCCTCCTAGTACTGCTGCTGAAGTGCAGAGCAGGGAAAAAATTTGCCAGCTACTCCTGAGACAGAGGACTGATGTCTAGAATATATAAAGAACTCAAAAAATGAAATCAAAACCAAACCAAAAACTGGCAAGTAAAATGAACAGACAGTTCTCAAAATATATCAAAAAATGTTCACTGTCTCTGTCCATTACAAAAAACAAAACAAAACAGACCACTACAATTTCATCTCACTCCAGAAAGATTGATTATCATCAAGAAATCAGATAGTAACAAATCCTGGCCAGGCTGTGGAGAAAAGGAATCCTTCTACATTGTTGGTGTGAGTGTAAATTGGTATAACCATGATAGAAATCAGTGCAGTGATTCCTCAAAAACCCAAAACTAGAAATTCCATTTGACCCAGCTACTCCCATTCTAGGTATTTTCCCAAACATGATTACAGTGATACAAACATACCTATGTTTATAGCAGCACAACTCCTCATAGCAAAATCTTGGAAGAAGCTTCCAAGTCTATCAACAGACACATGGATAAAGAAAATGTGGTATTTATATACAACAGTGTACTATCCTGCCATAAAGATAAACTTGAGTCATTTGTAGGGAGATGGACGTATCTTGAAACCATAATATTAACTGAAATAAACCAGACACACAAGCTTAAATATTACATGGTTTCCCTTATAGGAGAAACCCCTCCAAAAAATAAATCAAGAACAAAATAAAGGACAGACAGTAAGTAGGGAGACAGATCTTTCTTGTATAAGGAGATTAAGAGATGAAGGGGAGAAGGGTTAAAAAGAAGAATAAAGATCGTCATTCGAGAAATGCAAATTAAAAGCACACTGAGATTCCATCTCACCCCAGAAACAATGGCTATCGTCAAGAAATCAGCAAAAACAAATGCTGGTGAGGCTGTGGGGAAAAAGAACCCTTCTCCGCTGTTGGTGGGAGTGTACACTGGTACAACCTCTGTGGAAATCAGTGTGAAGATTCCTCAAAAAGTTCAGATTAGAGGTCCCATTCGACCCAGGTATTCCCCTTTTGGATATTTTTCCAAAAGAACTGAAAACATCATACCATAGCAATATATGTGTACCTCATGTTTATAGCAGTGCAATTTGTCATAGCTAAATTTTGGAAACAACCCAAAGGCCCATCAATTGAGAAAGGGATGAAAAAGAGGTATTTTTATACAATGGAGTACTACTCAGTTATAAAGAGAAACTCGAGGCTTTTATAGGTAAACGCATGCAAATTGAGACTATATTCATAAGTGAAAAAAATTAGACTCAACTCACATGTGCGAACATCATGTTGTCTCCTTAGTGTAAGAAACTGAAATAGTAAATAAAAGCTGAAAGGGACAATAGATATCATGAAAGGGAAAGAAACTGCTCAAAAAGAAAGAACAACTAGATAGGGGAAAGGAGAAAAAGAAAGAAGGGGGAAATGTGTGTGTGTACACACACACACACAAGACAGCTAAGATAATTGCACTACTAATTTCTTTCTTTTTTGTGGTCTTCTTTTTGAGACAGGGTCTCGCTATGTAGTTCAGGCTGACCTTGAGCTCACTTTGTAACACAGGCTGGTCTCGAACTCACAATGACCCTCCTGCCTCAGCCTCCCGAGCACTGGGATTACAGGCATGAGCTACCATGCCCAGCTTTTATTGTCTTAAAAATAAAAAAAAGTACACTACAAAAAAGGCTGAGATTCATTTCACAGGTCTATTTCTAATTTTTTCTGTTCATTATGGGGTAAACTATTTGCTTTAGGTCAGTTACCTGTCAAAGCATGTCTTCACCATTTGCTTGCTTGGTTGGTTGTTTTGGATTGCACAGAGTGAAATTCATTGGGGAACATGCTGACAGGGGCATGGGTCACGATGACAGAAAAAGCAGTTCAGTCCCTACAACTTGGTTCAGGAGAAGTACACACCCAGGTTAGCACAAAAAGGACTTCATCCTGGTGGAATGTAGCTAGTATTTGTTGTAAAATGTAAATTACTTCCTTTCTTTGCTATTTTGTAGGTGGTACAACATGAAAGTCTAGACACTGGGCTCTAGAGTCAGGCTCTCCAACTCCAATATTAGTTGTATAATGTTGGAAAAGTCACCAAATTCTCTACGCTTTAGTTTACCCATTATAAAACCAAATAATAATGTATCAACTTCTCAGTGTGGTTGAGATTTAACAAGGTAACATATATAAAGTGATCAGCACTGGGCCTGGCACAAAGTAAACCTTCAACAAATGTTGCGCTTTCTCCTTACAACCATTATTACACTATAAAAACACTAAGTTGAAACTTCTTGAAAATAGCACACTGTGCTGGGTGTGGTGGCGCACACCTGTAATCCTAGGACTCAGGAGACTGAGGCAGGAGGATTGCTATGAGTTTGAGGCCAGCCTGAACTACAGAGTGAGACCCCGTTTCAAAAAAAAAAGTACACTAAAACAACTTATGAAAGCATATTCTATACAATTTAGGCACATTACTGTGCTGGTAGTAAATCATACTTGGTTCCAATTAATGCTTCTTCAAAACAGAATATAATTGGAATCTTGAGCCCTCTTTAATACCAATTAACATTATCTGTCAACTAAATAGATTCTGAATAGAAAACTACTCTCAGCTATGTTATTCTGAGAGTCTCAGAAAGTTACTTATTTCTAAGACAAAAGAGCTCTATTTTGAAACCAATAGCATTGGTAAAGTGGTGAACCATGTGGATAAAATTAACTATAGACCCTTAATCAATATTCACTAATTTTCTTCCAGGCCCATGTCCTCCCATCAAGAGAAGCAATTTTTTAAGTCAAATAACGTGTCTAAAATACTAGGCCAGTTTCTGCTCATTTTAAAAATATACATAAAATATACAGAGAGTAAATAAGATATATGAGTCTGTCAGTATGTACTACTGAATATATATACATACACACACACACATGTGTGTATGACACGCTGGAGATTCAGCAAAAGATATTAAACCAAGAACAAATTTTCAACAAGAACTAGGCTACAGAAAGTACTATCCAGAAAGAACTACTTCTTAAATTCCAAAACAACTTTACCTATGTGAAGAGTGCTCTAAAAGATTTAAGAAAATTATTTCATCTCTTTTGGGGGAACAAGAAAGCTTCACTAATCATAAAGTAAAAACACAAAAATTTCCTTCATTCACAATGTACCCTACAAATTCTCCATTTCCCCAATATTGTGCAGGTAAGAAGCCACTACTGCTGTTAACCCTGACATAATGGCATCAAAATAGAATAAAATAGACAGTGGGAAGTCTCTGTACATTTGGCAAAACTGTTAACAGCTTGACATTTTAATTTAGTATTTCATGTGCTATAATTATACTCAAAGCAATGTAAGCATCACAGCCTCAGATATATGCTCTAATGTTCTATTCAATAAAATGTCCTACATTACTCAAGTACTTTCAAAAATAAAAATATTCACAACACTTGAAAACGAAAAGTAAACTGTGCTTGAAGCTATTTTTAAAATTATACTTTATGATATTACTGTAGTTTATGTCTCATTTTAAAAATAACCATAATGCCTACATTTAACAGAATTTAAATTGTCTTCCTCTACATAAAAATAGTATGTATAAGTTTTTTAAAGCAAATTATTCATATCTGTATAACGTTCTTCAAGGAAAAAGGATTATTATAAAATCTCCTATGTGACAGAGAAATTGCCCTTTCCTCAAGAAAGTGCCAGTTCTCAAAATGTAGGTTTTCTTCAGGCAAGGACTGACATCATCAAATACAGTATAGTTTTGAAGTATATAAATATAATGTTTCACTCTGAAAACTTTGGGCATTAATATCTTTAGAAAAAGAAGATTAGTTTACTATGCTAGCCTTAACAGATCAGTTCAAAACAAAGATAAATTTTAATAACAAAAGTATAAGCTATAAATAATGTAATTTATTCTATACTCACACATCCATAAGTAGTACATGAGCTTTACTGTCTTCTGGAATTCTACAGGAATGTCTACAGAAAAGTCCTGATAGAAACAAGGTCCCACAGGAAAATTCTCAGGAAGAGGTGGCCAATTATTTTTTCTACCTGTAAATTTAAAAATAAATTACTCATAATCAATATACTCTGTTCTTATTTTTATTACCTTATTTTAAAATGTAACACTTTGAAAACCATACTTCATATTTTTAAAAATCTTCTGAGAATATAACTTTATAAAATAACAGATGGTAAAATAATTTTTCAGGGTTATGGCACATCATATTTAGCAGGTATCAGAAAACAGGGAGAAATCAGAAATCAGAAAGAAAAAAAGAGTTTCAAAGTCACAAGTGTCTGACTGTCATGAGGAGGCAATCCAGTTTTTAAACTTCATTATCTTCCTCAGCATCTTAAATTTTTCAGTAAAATTCTACTATATGGAGAGGGATGACCAGCATCTGAGTCCTAACTTTTCTACTGCTAACTCCACTAAAAACACAAGATTAAACTGGCACCAAAGAATTAAATTTGGAAATCTCAAAGTCTAGGAAAAAAAAATACCTAAAAGACATATGTAAGAAATCCAAACAAATGAAAAAATACGAAATAGTCATTAGAAGAAAGTAAAGAAATTGTATCACCTTCAAAACTCTAAACTTCAAAACTTCAAAACTTTAAAAACAAATTCAGACTGTGAGGAAAGAAAACATGTACAAAGAAATTACATTAAAAATAAGTAAAATAGGGGCCGGGCATGGTGGTGCATGCCTGTAATCCCAGCACTTGGGAGGCTGAGGCAAGAGGACTGCTCTGAGTTCAAGACCAGCCTGGGCTACAAAGTGAGTTCAAGGCCAGCCTGAACTGCATAGTGAGACTCTGTCTCATAAAGACACACACACAAAAAAAAAAAAGAAGAAGAAGAAGAAGAAGAAGAAGAAGGGAAATGTTGGGGAAAATAAAAATAATTAAAAGTAAAACAAAAATCAGAACATTAGAGGGTAAAAATATAAACTAAAGACCATTTTCTAATTTTAAATACTGTATCTACTTTACCTCACAACTTGTAGTTTTAGTTACAGAATCCAATTTTACATAATTTTTCTATACCACAAATTTTTTGTATGTATGTGGTAGGGGTTTTTTGTTGTTGTTGTTTGTGACAGGTCTCAATGCACAGCACTGGGTGACCTCAAACTTTGAAACCCCCTGCCTCAGCCTCCTGGGTTTCACGATTATAGGTATGTGCCAGTACAACCAGCCGAGGTCATTTTTCACAGTGCAGAAAAGTACAACCTTGTTCTAATCCTCCCCAATATGTCTTGTCTGTTCCATTGATTATACTACCCAAATTTCATGCAGTTCAGACACTTTCATACCAGTCTCAGTGTATTTGAGCAGCAGCAGCAGCAGAAAACATAACGAAGAACACAGGCTCTGGAACCAGAAAGCTGAGCTACTAGGTGGCAACTGGTCCAAGGCAAACTCTCAGAGCCTAAGTTCTTCATCTGTAAAATGAGAATGACAACTGGACCACCCTTCCCAGGATAGTTCTGAGGATTTAATATGAGTTTGTAAGTCAAAAGTACTAAAATGTACTCACACGTAAGTCTAACTCTGTTAATTTCTCACTCTTTCATTACTACCTTTATTAAAACCTCTCTCACAGAAATAATTTGAATTAGTCAATGCTAAGAAAATAAGACAGATTTTAGCTACAGATACTTCAGAAACATTGCCCTTAAATTAAATGTTTAGTTTTTCCTTTGTAGATGCTGTCTCTGGTACTGCAAATGAGAAAATGACCCAGAGTAAATGGCCCAGGTGAGGCCCCAGACTTGTACATTCTAAGATATGGAAGAAACCATTCTGTACTGCATTACTGTTCTTAGTCCATCACTATCCCAGGCATCCTAACAGTGACTTACCTCCAGCTCTTCCCTTCTTATCCAGACACTGCTAACTTTTCTAAGATACTCCCTTGAAGTGATCTTGGTGGTCAAAGCCTGAATAGATTCCATAGCACTGATTTTTCTTTGTCAGCATATAAGCACACTGATCTTCCAAGGGTCACCACAAACATTTTTTAAACATATTTCTGAGGGCTGGGGCAGATTAATTGAACCTGGTCTGAGTAAATCAGGTTAAGGGTCAAACATGGGGCACACACATTCAAATGTTCTCAGATTCAACAGATTCAAAGAGCCCAAGTACAAAATCAAAGGCTCCTGGGTTTAGAATGAACCAAAGTTATCAGATCTGCGTTTGCTTTCTCTCAGCCATAACTGTTCTAATCCACTAAAAGACTGCAAATCAGCCAAGATCACAGAACTATACAGTATCAAGCAGGAAATTTGCCTTGTGTGCTCTCCTTGCTAGAATAGCAAAACAAGCCAGGGTTTTATCCACACACAAAATGACCTACAGCTAGAATAGATACTTCTATTTCAAACTTCTTTGGATACTACCATGTTGACTGAGGTTTTGCATTTCTCGTTCTCGACGATCTAATTCTGCAGCTTTTCTTTCTAGTTCTTCTTGCCGCTTAAGAAGTTCAGCTTGAGCCAGGGCATGTTCCTTAAACAGAAGTTATCAATACATGAATAGCTTTTCAGAAATATAAAACACTCTAACATATGTTATCTCCACTTCTTTCTCTGATTTAAATTGATTCCAAAATACAGAATTGGAGATTGTAATTTCAGAAAACGTCACATGGATTTGGCTCTGTGGGAACAGAGTCCATAGGACAGGAAAAACCCCTCCCATTATGAGTAGTCACAATCAGAAGTCATCTGGAAATTGAAATTAACAAGACTCTGTGCCTAAGTGAGATTAAGGACAGAAGCAAAGGGAACAGGTCAAGAAAAGGAAAGAAAAAAGAGCAACTGAGTTGCTTTGATAAACTGGGTTAAATGACCTATCAGCCTTGCAGCAATGCAAGACTATTTTATAATGTCTTAAATGTCGTAAGATATTGCAGTGGAAGGAGGATACAGTTAAGAAATTCTGGTCCCTAACTCTACCTGCCCATAATGTGACACCAGACAACTTATTCACCTGTCTTTCTTGGATTTCTGTCATCTACTTCCTCTTACTATCACTGGCTAGCCAGTAAAACTCTTTCTCTAGAATACCTACCATTCTGTCATTGAGTAGTATTGTACATGAAGACTTTAGACCAAATGCAAGAAACAATTTCAACATACAAATTGTACACCAAGACAACAAATGAATTCAGCGATTCCTAATATTGGAATAAGGCAAATGTAGAAACTGACAAAGAGGTATGAGCACTTACAGAATGACAACATTGCTAATCCAGACTGAAAAGTAAGTTAAAATTTTAAAATAAGGAATGCAACAATGTAATTACAGTAGTTGTGTCTGAACACAACATTAATATTATTAATACTGTAATTTCTGATATAAATTTAAACAGTGAATGCGAACTAACCTTTGCAATTTGTGTATAAGCTGGATGTTCCTCTGTTGGTTTCATTATTGCTGGCTGTGTATTAGGTACATTAGGCATTTTCACACTGCCTGGTGGAGGCTAGGAAGATTAAGAAAAGGACAAATTATATAACATACAGTCCAATTTCAACTTCTCTCAAAAGTTACAATAGTAATAAAAAGCAAAATCCAGATCAGCCTTTCTTCCCCTGCCTTCTCCTAGTCATGCATGTGGCAAAGAGCTGTTGAAGCTTCCACCTCCATTTTCTCTAACTGATTCATTTCTCAACTCTACAACCTCCCATACTACACCACAAACACTTTCACACTATACCACAAACACTGTTCTCCAGGACACTGTGTTTTCAAAGCATGTTTTCCTATGTCTCTACAGTAAAGTACAGAGAGTACCAAACCAAAGAATCACCCTGAGCGAGCAGCAAGGCACAGTGGCATGTAACTACAGCCCAGCTACTCAGGAGGCTGAGGAAAACTACTAGAGCACAGAGTCCAAAGCCAGCCTGCACCCCACAGCAAGACCCTATCTCTGTGCCAGTGCTCTGAAAAATATATAGGCGATCTCTTAGTAGAATAGCACTTTAAAAGAGAGAGAAGGCATAAAGAAATGGAAAATAAACACTACAAAACCTCCACTTTGCCAAATAAGGTCAGCATTACTTAAAAGGAGTTACAAGGTCAAGAGGTAAATACCTACAAGCCCAGCAACAGGAAACTGGTTAAACCATCATAAATACATGCAGCACAGACATCGCACACATGAGTTGCAACGATCAAAAATGATTTCTAAATACTAAAGGAAACAAAGCAAACTACAGAAGAGCATGCAGATGATCTTTTTAAATAAACATTTACACATACTCAGAAAAATATCTAGAAGGTCACAGCAAACAATTATCAGGACTTTCACCTAGTGCTACACTTCTCTATTATCTGTCTTCCCCAACATGCTTGTATCACTTTTTAAAGTTAATCATATTTTTGAAGTGCTCTTTAGAAAGGTTATAAGGAAAAGAAAGAACGATGGTAAGATGAAAAGGCAGGGAAGAGGGGAGGGAAGGGGAGAGCGTTAAGAAGGGAGGAAGACAGAAAGCCAAGAAGGCATTGCTACATACAGCACCAAATTCAACAGAACTGTTAGAAAGCACTGCAAACACAGCAGGCATTTACACTGCCAGGGCTGATAACAGCTTTGAAAAGGAAACAAGTACAACCAAAGATATAACTGGAATATAGCTGATTCTAAAATTCATGAGGAAAATAAAGACTAATAAATAGGACAAACACTTCTGAAGAAAAGACAGGACCTACGATATCAAGACTTACTATAAGGCCATTTATTTAGGAGTATGGTACAGATAAGAAAAAAATAAAAATAAAAAAGTCAGATACAAGCCCACACAAATGCAGAAACCAAATGCCAAACAAAGATGGCACTATAAAATAGCAGAGAAATAGTTTTTAATCGTTAAATAGTACTGGGATAACTAGATAATCACCTAAAAAAAACCTAAATTTCTCACTTCATACCATATACAAAATTAAATTCAAGACAAACTAATGCCCTAACAGTAAAGCTTCAATTATTTTTAGGGTTAAAAAAAAGTGAATATATTTATAAACACAAGGTAAGAACTTTCCCGAATGTTACCTCTGGATATTTTGTGTGTTATGTTTATGATATATCCCAAGTACCTACAACAGTGCCTGGAACACAGTACATGCTCAACAATTATTCACACATTAAGCATGATCAGGAAACACTCAAACCATAAAAGTAAAGACCGACAGATTTAAGTATTCTGCAATTTAATAACAAAAAAGTCAAATCATAAATTGGGGAAAATCAGTACCTATACCATAAAACTGCCACCTAGAATATATATATAGTACAAATCCATACAAACAAGAATTACTAGAAAATCTGAATCAACAATACAGAGAAATAAAAACAGTTAATAACTATAAACATTTAAAAACATCCCCTGCTGGCTCCCGGAGGGTGGGCCCCCACCGCAC